ATGGCCTGCTGGAATGTCCACGTTGTCTAAGGCCTGGTTAAATAGCTCTCCGATGAATAGAGTTACGAGTATGTTTCTAGTTAGCGTAAAAGTCGCGAAGGGAGTGATCGAAAGCTTGGTGCTGCGTTTGTGAAGCAAGCGAAATGTGAGCGCAGCATCTATTTTTACCCATTGAACATGAAGCCAATCCGTTTTGGCGGCCGATGTTGAAACCAGAAGCGGAACAGTCATCCACGTAAATCAATAACGTCTAGTAGAAGAGTTTGCTGATCTGCACGAACAGTGCACGTAGACAAATTCTAATTGACAGGTCAAGTGGCTAATTTCAGAGGTTATGGTGGAATGCATTCCGGACCAGCAGTACTGCCGTTGCTGAAGTTCTGGACTGCCAGGTTGTTTATTGCAAAGTAGGTGTATAATCACTTTTCGCCAAGGCATGAGCAACTATGTTCTGTAGGTGGTTGCATACTGTTGCTGGTAATGGCTTAAAAGCGACTATGCATTTCTTTCAGAACGTCCATTACCTGACTCCTAGATGTGCATCGTGAGCCGTCCGGCTTGCTGATGGAGACGATGTAGGAAATGGAGAGATATCATTTTCTTGTAGCCTTCTACCCGCTTGGGAAGTAACATGTGCGTTATTATGCAGATAGCCTTCTCCTGCAACTTTTACAGTACAGTTGAAAAACGTCTCAGGTTAAGCTTAGCTTTATATCACGCACTAGCTTATTTTTTTCGAGACATCCAATTGATGTTTGTAAGCAAAGAATTTCTATGCGAACGTCACGAACCGACGGCTTCATATCTTTCGATGCGTTGTCGCGAATCTTCTATGTTTACCTGTTAGGTTAAACCGATGTTTGAGTCGTACTTGCATGAGACTAGAACAGATTTTTTGAAAAGTCCTGTATTGCCCGGATGTAGTAGCACAACCGTCCAGTGCAGTTGGCAGATTAGAGTTCGCATTCGTCATAGCCCCAGGGTACACGTGCAGGACCTGAAAATCGTTTGATCGCGGATATAAATGTGGCTGATCTCGTTGGCGGCGAATCCGTCTTTCGATACCCATATCCAGCGATGAAAGCATAGACGACCTGCGATGCCTTCGTGAAGATCTTGTGAATGATTTGCAAGAGTTAGTCGCATGACCTGCGTAATATTTCTTGTGTCGTCTGTAACACCCCTTTTCATTTTCAAAACTCAGGCTGTGCATTCGTAGCGAAGTACCAGCAGCTATATGTAAATACTCTTAAATAATATTTCTGGCTTTCAATTCTGGCCCATAGTTATAAAAATAAGTGTTTGAACGATTCATTGTTCAGGGCACCAAACTGCAGATGGTACAACAGTTTATTGTCGACGCGTTTGGCTACGTACACCGTAACATCATCAGTACTAGGCAAAGTACAAGTGAATGCTTGAAGGTAAACGCCCTACAAGCGAACAGTGCGTTAGAACAAAAATGTTGTTAAACCCGAGCAGCAAAGTGTTAACTAAAGAGCCAGTGTAAATTTCTCATTAAATGAATACACTTCTGTGGTTATTAACGAAAGCTGGGGGTGGGGGAATGATTGCAAAATTGATATGTTCGTTTTTATGAGTCTTCATACTGTTTGTTTGCCAACACTCTCGCTGTTCAGTTTGACAAAATTTGATTGCAAAGTATTATTCGCGTGTTGGAAATCTCCCTTTCAAGTATTCATTTGTACTTTGCCCAGTCCTTATAGTAAATACTCTTATTTTTGACTTTTTCTACGTCGTATAATTTCTTGTACTTCTTTCGGTTGAAGTTTTCAGCATTCTTTTCACCTTCCTACCCTCTACCTCCAAAATCGTAAGCAGATATGGATAATTTTGGTGGTCTCTTCACTCGTTAAGTCTTTTCCTGTTTCCTGTCCATCTCGTGCACGATAACGTAACATCCATGTTCGCCGTTACAGTAAGTAGCTTCAAGCATGACCACACAGGCAACGTACATTTTCTTTCTAGCATGATGGTAACTCAGTTTCAGTGTTAGGTGTGACTTAACTGCTGCATCATGTTACAGTAAGCATAAGAATTGTCATCCTCCTTTCGGAAGCACTACTTTCACAATGTTTTCTTTAAGAAAAAAAATAAAGACGCTGTCTGCAATCATTCAGCCCAGATTTGCATTCTTCTCGAACTAAACGTAGGAAAACCGAACGAAGATTCGTTGACCCTGGTTTGCACATCTTCGTTTGCCAGCCAACGACGGTCGCTGTCCGTTTGGACTACGAATAGCATGAAGCAATGCGATTTAAACGGAATTAGTAGACGTCATGAAAGTTTTGGTAATGAAGCGTCGAACTAAGAATCCAATCTACAAGCGCAACGTCTTCAGTCAATTTTTCTCTACCCCGTAGCTCATCAACGCATTCCATATCAAATAGCATGAATTTATGCGACAAAGATATCAGTTAGCATGCACTTAGCATCGCCGTTGAGGCGATTATGAAAAATGATAACCGACTGATAGTAAAACAGACGCTTCATTAGCGCTTGACGTCATGCTCTGTGAATCTTGTGAAGCTCCAATTCGTTGTTCACCTCCTTGAAAGCGCTGACCACGAAAGCTGTAAGAAAAAAAACTCAAAGTTGATTGATTCACGTTCACACGACTCATCGTTCCCATCAAAGCTTACAGTAAATAATGTTCTGTGCCTCTTTGCTGATGCGATTCGCCTCGCCTTCGACTTGAATGAAACTGATGTACCGACGAAGTAGTTCGTACGATTGCTGATTTCCTAGAACGCGTTTTTATGACGAGGATCTTCGCTAAACCTCAACTAACCTTGCTTGTAAAGTGCGTACAGTTCTTTGAGACTGTCAAATAAGTTCTGTTTCGCTTGTTCACCATTCAGCAAAACTTCGGTGAAGATAAGCATTTGATTGAACGTTTCAGCGATGGTCGTTTTCGGCTTTTCCTGGCAAATGATTAATTAGATAGAATTCACATCTGATGTAACTCTGCCGTTGCCTGGTCCCAAATCCGGATGAAACAGGAGAGGGTTTGGAGCCGTGGCGAGGTCTTCCGCAAAGTTTAAACTCTTGATCCTCATGGCATTGCCGCTACCGAACGTCATACAGGTGTGGTCGTCTCTGGATTATTAAAAACCGGGTGGACTGTTGGGAAACCGAGGCAAAGAGCGAAAAATTGGCGATCAGAACCTCCTCGAAGCCTTTTAGCAGCTAGGGGCGTGGTAGCGCGGAGGCGGCTGTCGAAGATGTGCACAAAGATGACGAAGGTACTAGTGAGCAATGGAATCGCTACTCGTCCTCAACGGAGGATACATACAGCGTCATGCCATTTTAGCATTTAATTTAATATTCCACGCGAACGATATCGCCAGTGGGCATTCGCAGTCGGAAATTCGAACATTTGACCTCTCTCCGAAAGAGAACAGGAACTAGTTGATGAGGTCGCAAACCGAGGATTGGACATAGTTGGACGCTTGGCAACGAAATGCCAGGACTGTGGAATTCATAATCTCTGCAAGTAGAACCTATTCTTCTTACGCGTCGGCTCTAGGAAGCACGTTCAAGATGTTCATGTTCTTACAGCACCAAAGTTGGCCGACAAAATCAATTAAATGGAAGCTTGTCAGCGGAAAAATGGCGGTTCTCTGACTGACGTTGCAATAGGCGAAAGCTTTAATTTGTTACAGGTGCATGCACAATTCCGAAAGAGAGAGAGAGATTCTTGTACTTCATGAATCGTTCCAGCATGAAGTACAAGGTGAGCTGTACGAAGTGCTGACTGTGGCTGGAATCCACAATTCTGATGGGCGATTTCAATGCCCATGTCAGAACAGATGTCGATAATAATAAGGCGTGATTGGAAAGAACAGCCTATCAGTCTTAACAATAATGCGATGAATTTGTTGCTGCGTTGTTAAGACAGTGAACTGTCAGTTACGAAAACCTTCGTCGAGCATCGAAATGATCACCAGTAAGCCCATAAAGGGAAAGGTTGCGC